TCTGAATCAGACTTTTGTTGAGCTTTTTCTAAATCAGTTTTTATTTGAAAATTATTTGCTTTTAGCTCAGCAATTTCTAATTTCATCTGATCAGTCTCAGATGCAAGATAGCTCTTAAGCTTCTTGTATTTGAGTCTAATTTTACTATAGTTTTCAACCATCTCAGATAATCTTTCAACTAGCTCAGCTCTGGTAAGTTCAGAAAATACCTCTTCTAAATCTGATTCTGATCTAGATTCAGTTGTTTCTTCGTTGTCTTCTGTGTTAGCCATCAGTGCAACATTTGCACATTCGTCCTCTGACTCTGATGAGGCTTCAGAGTCATCTGAGTCATCCCACGTGGCCATTAGGACTTTCTTCTTTTTCTCAAACTTCTTTCTGGGTTTCTCCTTCTGAAGTTTGGGACATTCACTTTTGTAGTGTCCTGGCTCCTTGCACTCAAAGCACACAACTTATTTCTTGCCAGATCTTTTGTGTCTAGAAGATTCCCCACGTTGTTCTAGTCTTTTGAAGTTTCTGAACTTCTTTTGCTTATGCTTCCAGAGTTGATTTATCCTTCTAGAAAGCAACGACAATTCATCTTCATCTGAGGAAGATTCTCCAGAGCTTTCCTCAAGTACCTGAAAAGCTTTCGTGTCATATTTTTATTAGATTTCAAAGCAATAGACTTACCTTTCTTCTGAGGCACGTCTTCTTCCAGCTCTATCTCATGACTCCTTAAGGAACTGATGAGTTCCTCCAGAGTGATCTTGTTAAGATCCTTTGATAGCTTCAACGCTGTAACCATGGGTCTCCACTTCTTTGGTAGACTTCTGATGATCTTCTTCACATGATCAGAAGTGGAGTATCCTTTATCAACGACCTTCAAACCAGCTGTCAGAATCTGGAATCTTGAACACATAGTTTCCACAGATTCTTCTTCCTCCATCTTGAAGGCTTCATACTTCTGAATAAGCGCAAGAGCCTTTGTCTCCTTCACCTGAGAGTTTCCTTCATGTGTCATCTTTAATGACTCAAACATGTCAAACGACGTTTCTCTATTTGTGATTTTCTCATACTCAGTATGAGATATAGCGTTTAACATAATGGTTCTAGCTTTGTGATGATTTCTGAAATCTCTCTTCTGTTGGTCAGTCATTGACTTTCTGTCAATCTTTTTCCCCTCACCATCAATGGGTGAATGTATCCATCAATGACCAAATCCCATAGATCAACATCATAACCTAGAAAGAAACTTTCTATTCTATCCTTCCAATAATCAAATTTCTCTCCATCAAACATGGGAGACTTTGTGCTGATTCTATCTTTATCATCATATTTGTTGTTTGAAGTTGAAGTTTCATCCATGATAAATCAAGGATAATAAATCAAGAGTTTTCCCAACTGGATCTTTATCTGTCACTGTTAAGTGATAACACTTCAGAGCCGGAGCTCTGATACCAACTGAACGTAGGAAAACACTTAGAGGGGGGGGGGGGTTAATAAGGGGTTTTCAAAAACAATTATGACAATAGACAATAACAAGTTATTTTTATCCTGGTTCGTTTGAACTCAAACTACTCCAGCCCACCCGACCAAGGTGATTTCGCCTCGCTCAAACGAGGACTTAATCCACTAAATCAAAACCTGATTACAATGATATCACTAAGACAACTGTCTTAGTCTTCTCAAGAATCCTGACCACAACTTGGTCTCTCAAGGAACTTTTACAAAGATAAAATACAATGTGCTTAGGTGCTTCTAAAAAGCTATTATCACAACTGTGATTTTTACACAAAATGAAGAACAAATAAAACTTATGTGTTTGATGTAGAAAGTTGTTTGATGAACTTGTGTTTTTCTTTGTATGAGTTTCTACTTTGAAATTATTTGAATTCTTTTTCTTTGATGGAATTGTTGTTCAAAATCTTGTACTTGAAGTGTTGATGGAGACTTCTATATATACTCCACTTTCTCAATAGTGTGTAGATGAAAGTACCGTAGGATGTAGACAGAAAGGACAAATACTTTTCGTCTTGATTTGACATCCCCTTTTTTCCTGAATTCCTGTGTCATAGTATACACAAATGAAAAATAGTATTGTTGGTAGACCTTTGGGTTTAGCAACGTCTCTTTTCAAATGAACATATATGAAAAATAATCTTGCATCAGATCCTCTGATGTTGTTCCTTGTTCTTCTTATCAGAGTCACTCTATCCAAAGTTTTACAGCAAAGTTCTTAGCGTGAATGTATGATCAGAGTTGACTTGATTCTCAGAGCCTTTGTACTTGCAGCGTTTAGTTCTCACAGAATCTTCTGAATATTCTGAATCTTTATTCTCTGCGCTCAGAGTCTTCTGTAGGTAGCGCTTTAGAGTCTTCTGCAGGTAGCACTTCAGAGTCTTCAGCTAGCGCTTCAGATTCTTCTGTGCTGCGCTTTAGAGTCTTCTGTGTTGCGCTTCAGAGTCTTCAGCTAGCGCATCAGAGTCTTCTACAGCTGCACTTCCTACGCTCAGAGCCTTGCGTTAAATCGTGTTCAGAGGAGTTCTTTTTGTCTTCAGATGAATATTTATTTGATATCTGAAACAAAAACGCTTGAACAAAATTAGAGTATATATTTTCTTATACAAAATTTCATTAATGTTATCATCAAAACATTGAGATATATTAAGAACCAATCTGTGTTCTAATATAATACAAGTTAAAAATGAGATTAATTATAAAAGCTGGATAATATTTATTAATTCTGCAAAAAATGCAACAACGGTTATATATCATAACCGTGATAGTGTTTGTTAATTCTGTAGAAAATTTAACAACATTTATATACCATAACCCTTACAATATCTTGTGCACTATCCAAAAAAAAAAAATCAAAATGGTGCAGTTGGAAATCGAACCTAGGACCATTTATTTATCACAAAAGTTTTTTGGAAAACCCGTTGTGATAGGGCGCGTGCTTTCCAGTTTATTATAACCGTTACTGGGCCGTGATTGTAAGTATCATATATACAACGACACTCTACATAACAACGTCTGTGCCCGCGTGATTATATATCATTTCTAACTATTGTTAAATGGGTTTTCCGTAGTAATGGTAATACGATTGATCTCGCACATTGTATCAGACATGAGTTGTAATGAGAGAAACATTTGGTTATATTAATAACTGATTAGAATTATAAATTTTTGGTCAAGGATGCTACATAAGAACATGCCAATGAATTCTAACCCCAATAAATTTTCTCACTATTATAATACTTAAAGTTTATTTTCTATTATTTTACTTTTTTAAGTATTCACCAAACAATCAATCTTCTGATAAATTAAACTTAAACTAATATAAACTATTGAATGATCTTTGAAACATAGTCACTCCTTGTGGAGACGATAAAAAATGCACTTGCTATATGCACTACAACAAAATAGCGCATGGTTGAGTGATGGAGTCTTTGAGCGCTTGAAGATTCCTCTTACCTTCATATGGTGCCAATACTTATTTGCTTAGCCTTAGTCCCACTTAGATTCCTACCTTCATACGTGAGAATCAGAAGTCAATTATCACTTACAGGTCCATTTTTGTGTGGTGGAATGAGAAAAGGGAGATGCTGGGAGAATGAACCCTTATGGTGCGGAAGCGAGATCTTCAAGTAAATTTGGGCGAAGAGGACCTACAATATTATTACTCCAATATCAAAGTTAGTGAAGTCAGAGAGATGTAGTTTGAGTGAGAATGAGATAATACCTGTAAATAGTGCATGGTAGGGTTACTATATGACTTGACATTGAAACCGCCTCCGTCTAACTTGATGTGTTATGTAAGGAACCGTCTGATCATATCTAACAACATGTGATTTATTAGTGATTAAGATTATGTGTCTGACTTTCTAACGAGGTTCCACCTTATCATCTATCCTACTTATAGCATGTTTGAATTGACTTTTGGAAGACACAAAATCAATTCTAGAGGTGTAGAATTGATTCTGGGTGATTTTGAGGTGTTTGTTTTATCAAAAACAGAGTTGATTCTACCTTCATAATTGATTCTACTTGAAGCTCGAATTTATAGCTTCTACCTCCAGAATTGATTCTGAGTGATTTTTACACTGAAATTTATTATTTAACTCACTTTACATAAATGTATCCAAACATAAATCAATTTATCTAAACTCAATTCTATTAAAGTCAATTCTATCAAATTCAATTCTACTAGAATTAGTTCTATTCACCGCCAATCTAAACACACTCTTAATGATGCTATAAACTGGACCTTAGTAATTGGGCAGCAAACTTGCCGTTTTGAACCTTTGTTCAGCGCGAAACAAAAAAATATTATATTTATTAATAAAAAAATTAAAAATGTAGTATAGACTTATAAAGTACAATTTAGTGTTTGAATTTGGAAATTCATGAATCAATAAATGTATTAAAACTATAAATAAGTGATGTTCACTTAGCTGCTCAGTTCAAAATTTTTAATGGTATGTTATTTGAACAACTAAATTCCAAATCGTATGTACACATCTTCCACCCATTGTTTAGTCATACTTTGACAAATACAAAAAAATACACCGTATATGGTTTCCATTTGTTTCCGTTTACATATCCAACCACTATATTCACTAACTCCAACTGAGTATACAACAAGCTAACAATCAAAACTAAATATTCCTTGGTTGCTAAAGATAGATGCCATAAGAAAAGGGGTTCTCAGAACCAATTAGTCTAAAGTGTTCCCACTTATTAAAGTGAATACAATTAATAATGTAAGGTTGATCATTATTCATCAAACTTAATTCAATTATTTTTTGTATAAATAAATTGGTGGTGTAACCCATGACATCACTTCATGTCCACTGTCTTGATAATGAAGGCATCAATTCTTTTCCTTCAAGGCACCTAGTCAACAAGTAACAGAGAAACTACTCTTCCAAACTCTATAAAAGACCACAAAACCTTAGGACTAAAACACAAACACACTTGATAGTTATTAAATTCATAGAGAAAATTGAAGTACTGCAATGGCTACAAATCAGGAAGAGGTGAAACTTTTGGGAGCTCTTGGAAGCCCATTTGTGTGCAGAGTAAATCTTGCTCTAAACCTGAAGGGAATTGAATACGAATTTGTTAAAGAAGACTTGCAGAACAAGAGTGAGCTTCTTCTCAAATATAACCCAGTTTACAAAAAGGTTCCAGTTTTTGTTCATAATCAGAAGCCTATTTCGGAGTCTCTGGTGATTCTTGAATACATTGATGAAACATGGAAGCAGAATCCAATCTTGCCTTCTGATCCTTACAAAAGAGCCTCGGCTCGTTTCTGGTCAAAGTTCATAGATGACAAGGTAACTTCCTCTTTGATATTTTTTTAGCACATTAGTGATTAATATGTTTAATTTGTTCATTTCTTCAAATTATTACTAGTCTCGTGTGTCAGTGTTACATCCGTGTTTGGAGTGTCCTTGCTTCTTAGATTTTTTGTACTCTCTATGTTGCTTTGAAATAGTTCAAAGAGTACTAATAATTTATGAATTGTTCAGATTGTGTCTCCTTCATTCAAATCTGCTTTCACAGTTGATGAGAAAGAGCGTGAGAAGAATATTGCAGAATCATCTGAGGCTCTTCTGATCCTTGAGAATCAGTTGAAGGACAAGTTCTTTGGAGGTGAAGAGATTGACTTTGTTGATATTGCTGCTGTGTTCATAGCTTTTTGGATCCCTTTGGTTCAAGATGTATCAGGGTTGCAATTTTTCACTGCAGAAAAGTTTCCAAAGCTTTACAAGTGGAGCCAAGAATTTCTTAACCATCCAGCTGTGAAGAAAAGTCTGCCTCCTAGAGAACCTCTTTTTGCCTTATTCAAAGGTCGCTACGAGAGCCTTTTTAATGCTTCAAAATAAACCATGTTATAGGGTACTGAGATTCAGAATTTTATGTGCATTAGCTATTTTTATAATCTGTCATTGATTTTTTGTTTTTAGGATTTCATTTCAATATAAGGATTTGTAATGTGAGATAAGATTTCTCTCAATGAAATCTATGGACATTGTTGTGATTTTTTCATATTTGGATTTAAAGAAAATGACATCTTTCTATCATATATTCCTATGGTCAATGAACATGAAGTAACAACAACCATACATTGATTCAATTTTAATATTTTTTTAGGGAAAAGATATGGCGACATTATTTTTAACACTTAGACCGTATTAGTGTCCCTGAAATCTACTTAGTTTTATTTTCTTTTAATAATTTAGTCTACTTTACTTTTTGATTTATTGTTATTATAGTCTACCGTACCCGTCTGTTCGTTTTTTTAAAGTTCAGACGTTTAAAAATATATACGTATTTTTGTGTGTTTACATTTTTTTTTAATTTAAATTTTATATAAAAAATTTGAATAAAATAGTTGTGCAAACTACCATATAACAATTAATAAAAAAGAAGCTAGTAAAAGAGAAGTTGAATTTTAAAATAAAAAACAAAAGAGTAAAATTGGAATAAAAATAGGCTACACTAAATCCAAATTTTTTCTTTATATATGTTCACTATGCCAAAAATGGCCTTTAGCAGCGCTTTTTTTGACCTTTAGCAGCGCTTTAAAGCGCTGCCTAAAGTGGCGCTGCTAAAGGTAAAGGCAACGCTTTTTTTTATGGAAAAAGCGCTGCTAAAGGTATCACTTTTAGCAGCGCTTTCAAAGCGCTGCCTATTCTCCCCCCCTCCCCCCTGTAGCAGCGCTTTATGAAAGCGCTTTTGTAGACCACCCTTTAGCAGCGCTTTTTTAAAGCGCTTTCTTAGACCCCTCCTTTCTTAACCTATAGCAGCGCTTTTTTATGCCTATTTTTCTCCCTTTAGCAGCGCTTTCTTGTAAAAGCGCTGTCTATACTTCACGTTTTTAAAAATTTTTTTTTTTGAAAAATCACATTTTTTATATATTTTTAGACAAACCTGCTTATAACAATTAAATTCCCTGCTTATAATTCAGGCTTTAAACATAACTTGGCCTTTAAACATTGTAATTCAACACTTGGCCTTTAATTCAACACAATATAACTAAACATTGTACATTATACAATAACACTTTGCAATTTACACATAATTAACTCAAGTATAATTTACACATAATTTAAACATTGTACATTATACAATATACAATATACAATATACAATTTACACATAATTACAAATCCAATATACATTATAGAATTCTTAACTCAATCATAAATTGACACCATTCTTCCTTAATTTCTTCCAGTTTTACTTTCGAGTACGTAGCGCATCTGAATTAATCAAAATACTACATAATATAACAGAACAAGCACGATTTAATACTAATTACTCAGATGAAATATTAGTTAATTATCAAAATGAATCATATAACTCATGAATTGATCCATACCATGATTGGAATCTCTAATTGACCAAAAAGAATGATTTCCTTCATAAATAGCGCTTTCTAAGGGTCCCCCTTTAGCAGCGCTTTTGAAAAGCGCTTTCGTAGGCCCCCCCTTTAGCAGCACTTTTTAAAAGCGCTTTCTTAGGCCCACCATTTAGCAGCGCTTTTTTAAAAGCGCTGTCTTTGGTAGGCGCTTTTTTTCTTTTTTTTTTTACTGCCCCTTTAGCAGCGCTTTTGTATAAAGCGCTGTCTTTCTATGCGCTGCTAAAAGTGATTTCTGGCGTAGTGGTTACAGATACACGGTGAATGAAATAACAGTGTCAAAATCGCAAAATATATTTTTTTAAAGGAAAAGTAATATTAATAATGAAAAAAAGTTCAAGTGATTAGGCAAGTGTCACAAAATATATCAAAAGTTAAATCAACCAAACAAAAAAAGTAAAGAATACAAAAAGGAAAGAACTACAATGCCATAAAATAGACAAGCTACTAGAATAAAAATTACAGAAAACTAGCTTAGAGAGAATTGCACACCAATACAAGAACAAGCTAGATATCAAGTCACTTCAAGCACTAACAACAGATTTAGCTTTTGGCTTGTTTAGAGTTTGTTTGATCCAGTTTTTGACTAGTTTAGAATTTGTTTATTCAGCTTCTATCTTGTTTAGAGTTTGTTTGATTCAATTTCTGACTAGTATAGAATCTGTTTTATCTAGCTTCTCACTTGTTTAGAGTTTCCTTTATCCAAACTTCTACCTTGTTCACATTTTGCTTTATCAAGCTTCTGCTCTGTTCACATTCTGCACACTTAACAAACTATTAGAGTGAAAAATTGTTCTTTATACTTTGTTATCCTCAAAACTCAGAATTTAGATGTAGAACAAACTTGTTCTAACAATTTCCCCCTTTTTGATAATGACAAGTATTATAATTTAAATAATTAATATTGACTTAACAAATAAACAACTAAAAATCAGAGTTAAGTTTGTAAGCTCTCCCTGAATTTTAGACTTCTAAATTTTTTTCTTAGCTTAAATTCATATAGCAAGGTTTGTAAGCTCTCCATGTGTTTAAGAATTATAAATATTTTTATTTTTAATCAGCACAAACATTTTTATAATTGTTAAAATGTTTGAGATTTCATCTTAGGATAAAAATGAATCAAAATCATCTCGTTCCCCCTTGTCATCAATAAAAAAGATATAGACAAAATCGAAAATAGAGTAATGGTGATTGAGAAGGAAAAAAACACTTCATAAATCATTATGAATTACAAGATGTGAACTGAAGAAAATAAAAGTACATAAGAAAAGATGGTTCTCAGAAAAATATGGCGGAGACAAGCTGGAAAAAGTACTAAGGAGTAGATGGTAAAATTAAGCTTCAAGCTCTAATGGGTTACAAGAGCCTTAGTTAAGCCAGCTTTTTGCACCTTCTTCACTATTCCTTCTTGAGAGAAGAGTTATGAGAGAACTCGTCCATAAGGAATGAAGAAAGACATTTCCTCATGAGAGACCCTGATCTTTGACTTCATAAAGTTAAAGATGGTGAGAGTTAGGTTAACTTTAACATTGTTATGATGAAGTACAAAAGATGTTTTTCATCATAAGTAAGCACATGGTGATCCTTTTCTCTTGGCAAGAAGTTTGACACCAGCTATTGATGCCATATTTTTGCCATGGGAGAGAGAGAGGAGGTACTTGCAGGCTTATTAAGGTTGGAAAAATATGCATAGGTATGATGGAGAAGAAGGGGTTGTTGCTACTAAACTGTTCAACACAAACACCGTTATCTTCAAACCTTATTGCTTTAGTAATAAAGGATGAAGTAATGAAGATTAAGAACCCAAAGACATCGAACTGGATTCCAAGGGTATCATGTCTGATCTTCTTAATGGAATCATTTGTCTATAATTCTTTGACAAGAACGAGATAAATGAGTCCATAGAGCATGTAAAAGTATTTGTTCCATCATTGAGAAGAGACAACTCCTTGAAGCTTAACCTTTGATCCTTTAGTTCTTCAAAAGCAACAAACTTTTCATTAATAGTTGAAAAAATATTTCCGTTACCTATGAAGGTTCTGGGAGCCATTTTTTTGGTTTAGGTTATAGATGAAGGAGAACAATAAGAGTTTTTCAAAAAAGATTTTGAAAAGATACAAGATATTTTGAGTTGAGTTGTGAGTGGTGAGAGGTGAATAGGGTGTTTAAATAAAGTGAGAAAAGAAGTTAAAAATACTTAGAAATAATTAGGGTTTAAAAGTTAAAACAAATGGAAACTTAACGGACACCTAAAATACTCTTAGCAATAAATTCTATAACAATGCACATTACTTTTCACGCTTGTTAGATGATATCGTTACTATACTAAAAAAGGGAAAGAATTAATGACATAGGGGTGTCCAAACATGATTTTTATTTTACCCCCAAAAAAGTAATTCCCAATGATCAATCAATCATTTTTAATGACTGAAGGATATCATTTGACAACTATCATACTTCGTAGCTATCGTACCTCAAAAAAAGCACGATCCTTCGCGAATGGTTGCGGAAAACAGATTCTCCACCGAACTTTATTTATTCCAAGAAGGAATAGGAAAATATAGATAAAATCTTTAGGGAAAGAACATGGTCATCGCAACCAAGTTCTAGGTTCGGGAATCGGTTACGCGAGGGGAAGGTATTAGCACCCCTCACGTCTGTTATACTCAACGAGCACCTCTTGATTCGATTCGTGAGAAATGTTAGGTCGGATTGTTTATTTTCTTCTAAGGAAATAAAGTGAAAAGGTAAGGTAAAAGGGTTTAGATTGCTAAGGAGAAATGAGTGGTGTTTTATTATGGTGCTTGCCAAGGATTGGGGCCCTTGTGCCTACGGACCTTCACTTAAAAGAAGTGAAGAATGAGAGCGTCCATAGTTCGTGAGACTACGGGAGAAAAAGAGGGAAGGTTGCTTGCTAGGATCTTGCAATCCTATGCCTACGTATTCTCATTTACAAATGAGAAATCAGAGCGTCCGTAGTTCGAACTACGGATGTTGGTTTGATTCTATCGAAAGATACTTAGTTGCATTCGACAAAAAATATTGTTTTATCCAAGCAGATGAGGGGAGGAAGCTTGCATCACTTTGAATGGATTTCTATATATTAACATTCACGGGAAACACACCACTTACCTCGACTCAAATAGGTTATGGACGAAGCAATATTTTGCATCGTCTCAAGACACCATATCTAACGTTGATGAAAAGGTTTAATGATTCACACGACAATGAGAAATTGAATTAATGTGGTTATGTTTGTTTGGAGGACGATTACTTAAAGCTTAAGAAAGGCTCCTCGGGCCCAAGTAATCGAGAGAGTGGGTCAAAGACTTGACTCTCTCTCTTTTCCATCTCGAAAAGAGGTTGTGTTTGAGAAATGTTTTGAATGATAAGTGGATAGTTAAAGTATTTTAGACGGATGAGGATTACTTGAAGCTTAAGAAAGGCTCCTCGGGCCGGAGT